GCGCGCGTACCAGCCGTCGGTGAGACGCTCGAGATAGGAACGAGGCTCAAAGAGACGCACGGGCATCGAAATGCCTGGAGCGAACAAGTCCGACGTAAGCAGCAAGCAAAGCGTAACAACAAATCGATAAATCATAAAAGATAAAAAAGTGGAGAAGAAGCGAGAGGATGAGAGGAGAGGAAAAGAGTTGTACTTGTGAGTTCCTTGGCGGCGACGAGATTCTTGCCAAAGGACTTGACGAGGTCCCAGATCACACTGCGGTGCCAAGCGTCGAGAGTTGGTCAGGCTGTGGGCAGAGACGAGAAAAAGAGGAGTAGCGGGTACGCACCCTCTCTGCGAGGCGAGGTCTTCCTCGGACAGCGTGCAGATGTAGCCACCAGACGGGGCGGCTTTGCTCATACGCTCAAAGCTGGACATCAAGGGAGAAGTGGAGATTTAGCTTGTGAATGCGTGGGGGTGCCTTGGAAGTACTTCCAGCCAAGGCACGAGCGGGCGCAAGAGATGCAACCAAGTCGACAGAACTCGGGCTATTTAAAATTCGGGCCGTAACACTTCACCGGGCCATTGGTATGAGCAGAATGTGGTTCAGGCTTCTGCACCAATCCTGTGGCGCGAAATCAAAAATCGAGATTCAGAAGTGAATGTCGATTGGTCTAGAGGCTGAACCACATTCTGCTAATGCCTGTGTATCCTTGGATACCGGTGAAGTGAAGGGGAGCGAATCAACCGCTACAAGATGAAATTTGATCGGCGCACTCCTTCAGCTCTCAATCTCAAGGCAGCCTGTTGATCCATCACCTTTCCATCGTACAAAGAAATGGCAGAGGCGAACGTACGTTGGCATATCAGACATGGTTGTGTTAATCGTAGAGACGGTTTGTGTTTAGAGCTGTTCGTTCGAATTACGTTGAGCCTTGGCCGCGTGAGGGTGATGTGAATGAGGGATGATGCGATTGTGGCGGCAGATCTGATTCGAATCTGAAGATAAACGGCGATGCACGATCTTACGCTTGTTTCAATTAGAAGTGGATGAGAGAATCGAAGCCGTGGGAAGTCTCTGCGTCGACTCCAATCGATCCAATTTGCGAT